TGGTATTTATCACCCGTTTGTTCGTGAGCTTGAATCGTTAGTAAAAAAAGCACGTCATGTTGTTTCAAGGAGTCCCATTCATTCCGTATCGATTCTGTATATCGACCTATGTTAAATGTAATCTACGGATCATTGAATAAACTATAAGATAATAAATAAAAAAAAATCGAAATAACAATATAATCATAAGAAATAATGCTTACATCTGCTTTAACTTGGGACGGTTTCGATTCGCCAAGATTAGGCTTTGCAACTTCGACAATGCTGCATCAATAATCCGTATATGGTTAGATAATTATAATGTCTTTTGACACACATTATGTTTTCGTACCTCACCTGAATCTCTCAATCTCTACCGCCATGCGTGCCCATCCGCTGAATTCCGTTTCATATGAAGGATAGCTGATTCTCGGTGCTAATCTCTTTACGACATCTTCCACATCTTGTCTGATTTCATACGTGCTCTCCAGTCGAAACAGGTTAAAATTCCTTAGTAGATAGTCGTGAAGTGTAAGAAATTGAAGGTTGAGTTTAGGAAGTGCTAACGGTGTCTCTCCGGAATAGAACTGTGTTTTCACTACTGCGTCGTCAAATAGCGCGTTCTAGATAAATGTGAACATACTAGAGTTAGCTCTGAAGTAATATTATTAAGACATAACGAAAAATATCGTACTTCATCCGGATATAAAGGCATGGCGTTTATCGCATCTATCTGACTCGTTCGCTTCTCAAACCTTCCAATTAATACTTCTATGAGAAAATTCTTATCGTATGGACTGTTATCGTTCAGCCTGGTTGTTCTTATATTTAGAAATTCACAGAGCTTGATAATGTCTGAATGATCCAAAGCATTGAAGTGCTTATAGAGGTCCGGTCGTCGCTCAATGGAGGATAAGTTTGCCAATGCCAATAATTTTAATTTATCGCCAAAGTGTTGGAAGGCAATATGCTACATATTCAGACGGCGTGAGAAAAAGTATTCTAACTAATAATAATGTTATAAGCACGAGATCTATCTACCTGTAAATTGTTTAGTTTTTTGCAATGAAGCGCCGTCATTTCATCGTCTGTTAATGCCAAACCAGTGTGATCATGAATCTCAAATCCAGCATAAAACTTCAATATGTCCAACAATTGCTTAAATAATTCACTGCAAATAAAAATATTTTGGTAAGAATTTTGCATCGTCACTAATTATGGAAATTTCACGAAATAAGATTGTATTAAATCGGAAATACTGACTTTCCCTCTTTGCGTTTCATCAATGGGGACAATGTACATAGTACGATAAGCTGATGATCATCCAGTAATGCATTAAAATATCTTCTTGTCGGCAATTGTGCTTCCAGGTCAATCATAAACTCGATAAACCTTTCACAGTATGCAAGCGCATCGTCCGAGACTGTTAAGTTACGAAAGGTCAATAATTCATGCACAAGAAATAAGCACTAAAAGCTGTCGAAATGTAAAAAAGTTTTTACTAGCGTCTGATTCATCAATGGTGTACAAAATGTTGATAAAATGTTTTATTAATTCACTGAGCCATGATCTTTCAAATATTAATCTCTCCTTTATAGAGGGTTCTAATAATACAAATGTCAATTAAGAAAAAAAAAACGATTAGATTTAGCATGACGTCTGTGATGGGCACATAACTTGATCGAAAAGTAGGTAATACCTGCTTCCTCTAATTTCTTCATCGATCTTTTCCAAACTTTGCGTAAATGACTATTTAATTTGAACTCGTGTTCTCGGCGCGATGACATGGCGAAACAATGCCATATCGACACTGACACAACCCTGCGATAGAAGTTACATTGATTAAGCCATCGCTCAGAAAAAAAGATAATGACATCATGTTCTTACCTCATACACTCTACTCTCACCAATGGATTCTCTAAACTTTGAAACGCGTGGATTAAGAAGATCAATAGAAATCTCTTCATTTGCAGTGATACCTCGTCGACCGGTGCTATGGCTAGGTGCAGCACTCGATTGAAAAATCTAGGAAATTCGTCTGGTAGCTGAACAAAGATATCTAAGAATAGTTTAGCGTCGTATAAACGATAAGAATCACTTGATTGGATTTTTATGAACCCAGCTTACCCCATGCAGATACTCGTTCTCTGAACTTTTCAATGACCATCAATACGATCGATAATACGTGTGCTAATGTGGCATTGTCAGCATTGTAATTAGGCCATAAATACTAAAGATTATCAATTAATATCATTAACTAATTTCCATTTTCACTTAGTCTATTTTACGAACTCTACCAGCGTCGTTCCTCGATCTAATCGATCAACTTTAAAACAGCCCTATATACCTTCTCCAAGTATTGACTGAATTCAAGTAACATTAGCTTTCTGGTCTCAAATCGTTTTTTTTCTAATTCTTCACTGTATATTTGCTCGACAATGACGGGCAGCCATGTTCTCTCAGACGGTTCCTTGCTTGTCCAGTACGTTTCAGCTAAAGAAGATATCGAATCTGTCTGTATTTCATGAAGCGTTGGGTGGTGAAGGCCCCCACGCGCGCTCTCAGTAGGGGGTGCATGAGGTGGAAGTGTCGTCTTGCGATCAGACATTTTTTTTCTTCGATAATGTTGGAGAAGTGAACTTTCTGAGAAATTCAAAAATTCGGTACCCTGTTGTCATTGGTCATTAATCCTCACGTGCGCATCAAACCTATTACACAGTGAACCCCGTTAAACCGAAGTGGGTCGGGAACATAGGTGGGAAATGCTGAGAAATTCGGTTTATCGGGGGTTAATTAGTAAATTCGGTTTATCGGGGTAAATTTAATATAGATGTTTTAGAACTTACCTTCGGTTTAGCGAGGTTTTACTTAGTCCTTCGGTTAAAAGGGGTTCGGATTAACGGGGTTGACTGTGTATATTGCTTAAAAGTAACACCAAAATTGGTTAGCTTTAGTGTCTTATTATTGTCAATTTTGCTTTATATGTTATGCTAGTAATACTCGACATTCACATTACGGTATATAAAAATTCGCGCTTTTTACGGCTATACTATTACGTCTTCCATGAATAACGCGTCAAGTTAATACTAATGGTGCGATATTGGACCAGTCATTGTTTATTGCAACTGCTAAAAGTAAAACAAATGGCAAAAGCAAGCAAGTATACAGATTGAATATGAATAGATTGATTGACGCAATTATCATAATTCTCGAGGGAAATTCGAGTGACGCGTTACTGTCGCCACAAGTCGCCACACACGAATAATAAACAACACGTGATAATTACCGTTATTTTAGCGTATTTGTTCTTCTTGATAAATGACATTTAGAAAGTTGACAAACGTTACTTGTGGTTTGAGACATAGCTGTTAAAATTCGACTAACTTGTATAACTAGCAAAATTTGAAACAGCCTTTTCGGATAAAATTATTCTTCGTACAGGCCAAATTTAAGGCATTAACAAAAATAACAACATGCGTAGTAGCCAATACAATTATCACACAGGCGTATAACAAAGCGACGGATGAGAATAACCCTCCCTCTTGTTTAGCCCATTGCGTTTAAGATAGGTCCGTAGTCGTCTTTCCCACAAATTTATAAAAACAAGAAAAAGATTAGTTATTCTCGGTCAATATCTTCAAGCAAAGATGTTTTTATTACTATCAACCTCGCCTCGTTATAACGAAACTTAACAGTAATAGTACGTTATACACGTATAATTACCGAAGTTTGATACCAAATTTTCACTGGTGATTGAGCAGAGTTTTATCACCATAAATTTAATCGAGTATTTCTTCACAAATACTTCTCATAATTAGCTTACGACTAACATTTTATCAAAAATAGAATTATTTCATCGACTATAAAATGCACTAACTTACCACAACCGTTCGGCATACTTTTCTCGATTATTTTTATGAAATTTAAAGTTTCATTATTGGCAGGCCTTAAGTGACTGCAAAAAAGCTAAAATTGATCAGAACAAAGGTTAAATCTTTTCTTGCAACTTAAAAGTTCTATGCTACAACAAAAACCCGAAATAACAATTTATATTACGCAACATATTAATATATTAATATGTGTTTGGAAAGCTTTCATTTTTTTTGTAATACACTGTAAGTAAGGAAAGTGCTCCTTTTTTATTTCCCACATGCGGATAAACGGGTAAGATAATAATAACATGAAATCATCTCCCGTCTTTCGTGCATTGCAGCATTGAAGAGAAAGGCCAGAATTACACAGTACCCCAAAACGTAAATAAAGTTCACGGATCTCATGTTCATCCTCGAGGCGAATTAATTTGACTACCTTAAAATGTTGACTCACATATTATTATTGTAAATATGATTCTGCAACAAAACCTGTCGCATAAAGCGCGCGTGAGCTTATTGAGAAGTACAGAAGAAACTAAGCTTTTCTTATAGAACAGTAGAAAGTGATAATGTTATTTAATAAATATTGTTTGCTGAATGAGGTAATTGGGCCCAAATATGGCAAGTCAACTATGTTTCCTCGACAATTAGGAAAAGCTCTGAGAGCAATTTCCAATACTATTGGGTCAGAGAAATGTTAGATATTATCTACATCATCCCAGAATGGATCTTGCGGGATCTTAAAGGCCAAAGTGTAGCTTCGGCTAGTTATGGATAGGTAATATCTGATATTAGACTGGTTGAACACGTCAATACCGAGAAGGGAATAGACATTCCGCCAATTCATGATTCTTAATATGAATCGTTACTTGTAAGATATGAGAACGTAATGTTCAAATTATTGAATGCGACAACACTTCCTGAAATCAATAAAATCGCAATTGTCAACGTATGATTGGTATCTCGTAAAATAAGAATTGTAATCTGATCATCCGTAGGTGGTCTTCATTTACTTTTGGACCAGGAAAGTTGGATATGAGTACGGACAACTGACATTATCAGGGTAAACGAACATTTCACCACCGAATTTTATACACACACGCACAATTATCATAAAAAGTCTCATGTAATTTTTTCGTTCGTCCTGTCCTAGCTATCTGTCCAATCTGCACCCAGGGCCATTAAGATAAACGAAAATTTGTCGGCGGCTTCTTCGAGCTTTGATATTGAAACAGGAGAATGGAGAAAATTCGTTAGAATTGATTGCATTGATGGAGAAGTCTTACGGTTTACCTACTCTTTTCTTTGTTGGTTTCCCTGCACCATGGCCGGCCTGCGGAGAAAATCAATATAAACCAGTTCGTCAACTTACTTTCTTATTTAACTTTGTCATGTACAAAATGCTTACCTTAACGCCAATGCGAATTGCCAATGGATTTGGATTGTTCTTAGCGACGTGTTGCAGTTGAGCAATAAATTTGTAGGAATGCAAAGGCGGACTAGTATAAATTAAAGCTTTCAGTTTTTAACATCATTCTTAATTATAAACTAGTAACGAAGTACATACACTCTGTCATCGTGATCGGAAGTGGTTACCAGTACTGATGGATATGGCTTCTCTGACTGTACGTTGTGGAGAGGTGAATACCTGTAAAGGAACAGTTGCACAGTATTACATATATAGCAGGAACTGACTTATTATTGCTTTGAAATCTCTTTCAATTTCCGCACTTGTAAATGTAACCAAAGTCTTCTTCCTTGTCGGGATCTCCATAGTCACTTTTCCATGCGTGGCCAATCGTAAATTTGTGGTATCGCAACAAATCCAGTACGCCGACGTCGGACACCGCTGCTCCAAATAGTTCTGGTGCCTACCATGCCATATAAAAATTAGACAACGCGATTGCAATAAATTGGTAGTAGATATTTACCTGATTAATACAAGCTCCAACCAACAAACCGCCATTAGAACCTCCGTTGATGACTAGTCTCGCAGGACGTGTGTACTTCACACTTGCTAGCCACTTAGCAACTGACTTAAGACGGGAACGTTAGGACGTTTTTTAATATTTCTTTCCAAAAAACTAATAGAACCAACCTGGAAATCATCAAAGCAGTTTTGCTTGTGTTGTAGCGTTCCTGCACGATGCCACTCTTCGCCATATTCTCCGCCGCCGCGTATGTTAGCGACTGCTACAACACCTTTATAAAACAGGATAAACATCAACCATGTCAAACTAAACGTCGGCTTTACCACAATGTTAAATCCACCGTATCCGTATAATAATGTCGGATTATCTCCGTTAAGTTGTACGCCCTAAACAGTAGATACTTTCCAGTTTCAATTAAAATTCAAGACGAAAAAAATTCAACCAAATCCGCTTCTAACCTTGCGTGAAGTAATGAACACAGGAACTTTAGTCCCATCTTTGCTAGAAACAAACACTTGCTTTGTACATAAATTATCGGTATTCAGCCCTGGGACTACTGTCTTTTTGAATACTCTTAGTACCGAGTTGACAAAATTGTATTGGTAAATAATACCAGGATTTAGGAAATTGCTAAAGTAAAAAAACATCTCTGCATCCTTTTTGCGGCCAGACACTTCCGCTATTGCTCCAATCGGAATTTCAAGTTGGCGGATTTTCGCGCCAGTGTGGAGAGAATAAATGTAGATTTCTTCTTTCACATCGTGAAGGTATGTCAAGACAAGGTTATTTTGATGGACTACGCGCGCAGACGAGAGGATGTCGTCTGGGCATTCGGGAACGAGATCAACAAAGCCCTGATAACATTAAACTATTAGTGTGACCTGCATTGGTGAGTCTGATCATAATGAGGAATAATGATTCGTACATACTTCTTCGGGCTTAGAGAGATCATATCTAACAATCTTAGAACGAGGAGCGTTCGAATTTGTTTGAAAATAAAAGATAGTCTCATCATTGGTTAAGCTGAATTGATGCCGATGAGTTAACTAGCGGAATAATAGTGTCGTAGCTTACAGAACTTGATTTAAGTATACTTACTAGTTATATGCCGCATCAAAATTATCCACTGTTTTGCAAAATTCAAGGTTTTCTAGTATCAAATATTATTACAAAGAAAAGAATAAGCATTTCGAGAAGTCATAATTAATAGCAATACTAATCCAGCACGATCAATGGTAGATTCTTGATTGGCATACCAGTGACCTGTCCTCCGGTTTTATGTAAATCCGCTATCCAGAGCTTGTTGACACGCTCGGTACCCCTAGAGACATACAAGAGCACGTAACGTCCATCGTCCGACACCTCTACACTATGTAAGTACTCTGGATGCAGAGGGTCTTTATAGACTAATATATCTTCGGATTGTAAACTGCCCAATTTGTGATAATATACCTAAAATACAGCATATATTGAATTAGTTAACCAGACTCTAACAAATAGGGAGGATAACTCTTACCATCGAATTCATGTTCTTATCTATCTCTGTGCCTTTATCGTCTGTTTCCGGTTCAGGATATCTCTGTATTAATATAGACAATGATCAATTTCTTGCCACATACTCCATGACATTCTTGCACGCAACATATCTTTTGCATACACTGTAGAAAAACCCAGCCTCGTCATGAGTGAAATCGAGGGAGGTGAACTTTAACCATTCAATGACATCGTCCAGTTTTTCGTTCGAGCCTTCGACAGTCGTCTTTACATAGGCTGTGGCCCAGTCACTACCTGGTAATGTGATCAAAGGATAAATTATAATCGACTTATTGTCAAGTAATTCAAAGTATATTTTCATCCTAAGCATCATACCTGATTTAGATATAGAATACGCGAAGTATTTTCCCGACTCTGAAAAGGTGTAAGTTCTGATAGCAGCAGTTCCGTCTTCTTCAAGTGTGTTGGGCTATGAAAATAATAAACCATCAATGTATAAATGTAATCAACTGTTATCTACGGCATGGACAGGTTATGATTTGAATGGCTTACGTCAAAGAAGACTTTGGCGTCGGCTTGGAAAGATTGTAATCGGTACAAGACACTAAAATATCGTCAACAGTTGCGACAACCAAAAAATTACGTTTCTTTTTCTTTTTCGGTATCGGATTGGTAATTACCTCTGCTGTTGCAAGCCCGTGTTATAAAAGTAATAATAATAATCTCCCCGCTTAAACGGACATTCATATCGTTCGTAATCGTACATACTAGTCAGCCTAGCAATTATCAATGACATGTATCATTAGAAATTCATGTTGATTTTTTTACTCTCGACAACTCACTTACTTCTCACGAAATTTTTCGCGATATGGATATGACTCGATAATCTTGTAAAACAATTCATTCTGTTTCGTGACAAAGTCCTAGGTAGTGGATAGAAGTTTATGATAACAAAGATATATATACATGTATGCTCTAATTGATAACTTTCCCGATTTTATATTTAAATTTACATTTGTTTCCTCGCTATCAGGATCTTCCAACCATCGATATGGATCGTATACTTTATGTCCATGTAATTCTTCATAAAAGTTTTCATCTCTCCTGACCGGAGGATATTTCCATCGGCTAGACATATTAGTACGAGCAAATGTTTTCAGCGTCCTCGAGATTGGAATCCGTATCGGATGCGAATGAAACAGTTTGTTTTGTAGCATCATACGTCGCACACATAATACACGTAACACGACAAATAGCTTTTGCTACATTAGACCTTCAGATCATATCAAGTCTCGTATTCAGTTTACGTTAAATATAGCAATATACAAATGCCTTAATTAGTCCTATTACTACTTCGGATCATATTAATGTAGTAATATAGTAATAGTAATGAATAACGATGAATTAAATTAAATTTCTAATGTTAAATTTTTCCATAAATAGCCTTTTTGCTACGCGAAAATTGGTTGATTGTGATTGGTCATGAATAACAGATCAGCGGTGTCGAGAACTGAGGTCTACTTAGCTTACGCAAAATGTCTTTGGCAGACGAACTGCTAGCTGATCCCGATTTCGGTGACTCTTACGATGCAGATGAAGGAGACGCTAACATCTACGGTGACGAGGCCGGAGACCAGGACGTTGATATGAATGATCTTGAAGATTTATCTGATGAGTCAATGGGGGAAGCTCAAGATGATCAAAAGCTTCAAGAACAAGAAATGAAAGGGATAAAAGACGTACGGAAAGTCGCCAAATTACTAGGATCGAATCACATGAGGGAAACACTAGCGGTTAGTGTTCTTTATTGTACCTTAACGGTCGGACTTTTTTTTTAACTATTGGACAACTTTGCAGAGAATAGAAGAGCTCAAAAGTGTTGAGCGTCCGCCATCTATCACAGGCCCGGTCGAAGAGGACCCCGAATACAAATTGATAGTGCAGTCAAATAATTTGACTTCAGACATGGACAATGAAATCATACTAGTACATAAGGTATATACATTGTCACATTATTGATTTTAGTCTTTCTATTCAAGAAAAGCTAACTCTTATTTGTTATTACAGTTTATAAGGGATCATTATGCGAAAAAGTTTCCGGAATTAGAATCGCTAGTTCTTAATCCTTTGGATTATGCAAGAGCAGTAAAGGCGATTGGGAACGAAATGGTATGTTTTATCTTCAGTTCTTGCCTCCCTTTATTGCTATTTCTTTCAGATATTTTTATCCATTCTTCTTTTTTAACAGCGCCCATACCGATGTGTAAACATTCCACTGTTCCCTTCGCAAAATGCAGGATCTCACTAAGATCGATCTGCGATCTATGCTCCCATCGGCCACGGTAATGGTTATAACAGTTACTGGATCTACCACTACTGGCCAAAAACTTACTGAGGAGGAAGCAAAAATTGTAGAAGATGCATGTGATATGGCGTTAGAATTAGATGCCGCAAAAAGAAAGGTTTGAAATATTTGTAAACAAACTAATTAGGATATTTGATTCATTGTCAAGGAGCTAATCATCAGTCGTTGAACAGATTCTTGAATATGTCGAATCGCGTATGGCTTTAATCGCGCCCAACCTCTCGGCTATTGTTGGCAGCACGACTGCAGCAAAATTATTGGGTCAGGCTGGTGGACTAATGGCGTTTTGTAAAATGCCTGCGTGTAATGTCATAGTAAGTTTGGATTTGAAGGACTGATGTGTGCAAAAAAGGCATTCGGCTTACGCAAGATCTTGCTCTTTTTAGCTTATTGGTGGTCAGAAAAAAGGTAGTACGGGCTTTTCGACTATTGTTTCACCGCGAAATTCGGGATATTTGTTCCATTCAGAAATTATTCAGAGAACTCCTGCTGATCTCAGAGGCAAAGCACTAAAGATCGTCGCAGCCAAGTAAGTAAATCACTAATTGATTGAAATGACAGGAAAATTCAATTAAAGAGTTCGGGAAGGATTCATATTATTGTTTTGTTAGATGCATTCTTGCGGCGAGAATGGATCGCATGCACGAGTCGACTGATGGTTTGTGTATAATGACTAAGCGTTATATCGTTTTTGTTTTTGTTTTGTTTTTTTTTTGTTTTGGTTTTTATCTAAATATTGTTTTCGTCGTCAGGGTCATATGGGCATTCGTTACGAGAACAGATAGATAAAAAGCTCGAAAAGATGCAAGAACCACCACCTACAAAGGCCGTCAAACCATTGCCGGTTCCGGACGATGGACCTAAGAAACGTCGCGCTGGCAAAAGGTAAGCATGAAATATCTCAAATCGGTATCAAGAATATTGTCTGAACAAGTTCTTTTCTTGATACAGAGTCCGACGCACGAAAGAATCGTATGCGGTTACTGAATTTCGCAAAGCCCAGAATCGTATGGCTTTTGGTGTTGCAGAAGACGAGACCGTGTCTTTTGACAAATCAAAGGGACTTGGTCTAATTGGCACAAATTCTGGGAAAATTCGAGCGGCAGTCGCTGATCCACGAACGAAAGGTATACTGCTATTCAAAATGGGTTTTATGTAAGGGAGAATACGGCTGAAAAAAAATTCAAAAATTCAAAAATTCAACGATTTTTCTTTCTTCGTCCATCACAGCCAAAGCTCCAAAGAAACACCACTTTTTAGGAGGCTCTTCGGGTGCGACTTCTGGATTGGCGTCTTCTTTGGCATTCACACCTGTCCAGGGTATTGAGCTAATCAATCCGGAAGAAGCACAAAGAAAAGTGAAGGAAGCTAATGACAGATACTTTGGCAGCGCCACATTTGTAAAAGTGGGCAAACAAAAGCAACAACAAAATAATGATGGACATTAGAGTTAATCACTGATTAGATAGATACGTTTACTTGTATATCTCACCTCATATTGGGTTATGCATATAACTATATAAAGACCCATATGCAAAAATCATGAAGTATTGGACAAGTGGATAAATTATGCGCTTTGTTATTAAAGGCGTGAACTACTAGTGCATGATTGATACTTCTGAGGAGGTAAATACAATCTGCTTACAACTTTTGCTATAAGAATTTCTTGTAGCGTTCGTTGAAGCTTATACGATAACAGAATGACCAATATATCACGACTAAGGTAAATTATCACATGCTAAGTCTACACTACGCTGGTTATATATTCATAGTACACCCTGCTTAAATCATCCGTGAAACAATCAAATTTTACTTAATCATTAAATACTGACATTTTAATCGCGAAGTATATAATGCCTTGTGCGTATTCTATTGGTAGTCTTTCGCCATAAATGGCAGTATGGTTAAGAATCACTATGGGCAATGTTTCCCAACCCGACTCGTTGGTGCGTTTTAATCACTTCTATCATTTCATTTCCAATTCTAACACCTTCAGGGAACCTACAAACGTGTACGGTATTGATTAGCTCCCAAACGCTCATATGTGAGCACGAATTTATGAAATACCTCTTTTTGAAGAATTCGGCAGTATCATTGAATCGTTTCTGATATGCAGCCATGTTCCCAACCGCAACGCATTCAGCCCAGCCTTTGGAAGCAGAATAGAATTCCATATCGTCTGCTCGAATGTCTTTATCGTACAACGCCGCTCGAATGGCTTCATCTAGCATTTCGGTGTTGCGAAATAGATATTCTGCTATTCCGCTGGAACGATTCAATGAATACGATAACTGCTTAGCATAAATGCGATTCAAGCTGATAATCAACTAGTGAAGATTCATCCAATTCAAATATTAGCTTACATCCACAGTCTGAATAAAGGTGTTTGACAGACCATATGTTCATATGGCCTAATACCAAGCTTGTGCCAGCTGTCTGTCTACAGTCAAAAAAAGTAAAAGTTACTTTACTGTATAACTTGTTGTGTCTGAGTTTGGGACTTGTCTCAGTTCAGAACTCAGATCCGAGACAGATCCCCAACTGAGTACAACATATCTAATAGCTAGCCGTACCATTGCCATCAGTGACAAGTGCGAGTTAGGTTTCCTTTGTTCACTGGGTACACTCGACAATGAAAACCTGTCCAATATTGAATCGGATAATAATATCGGCTGCCTGTTTTCAGCATGTTTACCGAAAACAAAATCTCCTGCCTAAGAATGTTCTAATAATCTATGAATAACATGTACAGTGTTTGTCTCATTATCTGCAAATATTATTATTCGTACCTCCTTGACACGATTCTCGAATTCCTCTTGTTTCTCTTGGATCATGAGTTTAAACAGATCAGAGACAGATTGTGCGTATTGTCGGATTTGAATCTCTGCACTTGGATTCATTATTGCGATACCTATTAACAAAGCAATTAGTCAAATTAAAGAGATCAAAGAAATTGAGTCGTAACTTACCGGCATACACGTGCCATTTGTTGGAATAGATTCGCAATGTCATGTTTATTTTTACGTTCTCTATTCCCCCAACGTACTGTGGCGTTTCCCACTGAGAAATTGCAAAAAAAGAAATAAATTTTTCAATCAATCCATTTAGCATTAAGTAATGTAAAAACTATTGGTTCGTACCGGAAATTGCATTTGAGTCTTCCACGCAGTACCCATACTTGAAAAAAATTAGTTAAGCTGAGCGCGTTTATGTTATATCAGCATCTGTGATTTATAATTTAGACTGCGGTTACCTCAGAAATGCTACGTGAGTAACAGCCTGCGTATCAGCTGTTATTCTATCATGTTCTTTGTATGATAATTCAACTAATTCCGATTGCAAACAGGAAAGTATGCGAATTACGAGATTGTATTTGTCATCTGACGCACGATGGCGTATCAATACCTGTCAAATTTGGTTTGTTAATTGTCAATTGTTAACATTAGACAGTAGCGTGTTATAACTCACCAATGGTTGCCCTTTAGGATGAACGGTTGGTCCGTGCAAAGAATGACACGTTACAATATGAGCATCGTCGGGCAGATATTTTTCAAATGCGCGAATTTCCGGTTCTTTTACAGATGTCTAAATTGTTGCATCATTTTTAGCAAAATCCAACTAAACCCATCATGACCGCTGTGACTAACCTGGCCACCGACAATTGCTTCCAACTTTGTAGCTAATCATGATATAAACGTAATAAGAACGAATACCCTGAAGGAATTAGACAGAAACCAATTAGACTCCTACATGGTCCATATTCGGCAACCACACGTTCTATATTTTCAGCTTCAACAGAATAGATAATAAAATCGCTCCTTCGCGATACAGCATGTCCGTCTTTTAGAACAGTCAGGCCGCTACCTAATATAAACGTCAGCTTGTTTAACATAAAGCACTGTATTATAGGAGAATTTTACTGTAACTACCAGCTAGCGTTGTTTTCAGCTGTTCATACTTCGAAGGCAGGTCGCAAACGTTTATACTAAACAATTATAACAAGTGAATAATGGAAAACGTTGAAACAAATCAAGAATATCATCTATGTGAACTCTCGCGCATTACTTCTTCCAACCAGCCTCGCATAGCCTCTTGGCATACATCATTCCCATAGCCCCTAAACCGATGAAGCCAATTTCCAGTTCATCCATTTCCACAAGATTCATGGTTACAGACAGATCTGTATTTATATGCCTAGCCAACAAAAAATTACCGGTACTAATAAAAAAAATCTTTCTTTTCGTGTGAGCTTTTGATTACTACTCCCCACGCATATGATTTCAAGATGCAAAAACGTTATGGAAATAGATGTTTGGTCAAAAGAATATGGCAAATGCTTTATTCTTTACATCAAACTTTTATTAAAACTGATCGGAAAGCCAAACAAATTTTCTCAGTATTAGGATATTAACCGAACGCATTGTACTCCCCTACAGTCTCACACGCCCGAACCAAATTGTAACTATAAACGATAACGATAATAATAAGCCAATATGATTGTATCACGTGACGTAAAGGTTGATCTTGATAATCATTAAAGTCACATGATAAATAATTTTTCGATTCCAGTTATTATTGTTATTCGTATTAGATTTTGATCGACACACTCAAGTTATTTATCATATGACTTGTTCATTTAGCGTTAGTAGGGGTTGAGGAAAAGGTTTAGATATCTCTTATATTTGCATCCCTTTGAAATGACTTCACCGTATGCGAGTGATTCAACGTGGAAGCCTGAAATTGATTTGTGTAAGCTCTCAATACTATATAATGCAATTATTCCCAAAATGCGAACTGACCCCTACCTACCTTTCTAGCAAAACCAAGATATGACCAATCAACTTATATAGGTCGAGTTAGACATTTTGTTGACATTACTGATCCGAGGTAAACGACGGCGCTCTTGGACTATCAGTAGTGCTAGTTTAACCAAAGCAAGTGTTTTTTACAGGACTTTATTTGTGACCCGTAAGGGTCTTGAACAGGCCAAGAACCTGATCAACGACTATAACGCCGGTTTAATCCGTACCGTGGATCCAGAAAAACTATGGAAAGCAAAAAAAAGTAGGTTGCAATTCTGTACATGCCTGTTGTCCTTTACTAAAGTTTTTCTCTCTCAAATATAGTTGTGAATTCTACCATTCATCCTGACACCGGAGAGCCTGTATTTCTTCCATTTCGCATGTCATGTTTTGTGCCCACCAATCTTGTCGTAGTAGCTGGAATGCTTACGCCTAATCCAAGTGTATGTTGAAAGCATCTTATGTTTGATTCACTGTTCAATCGGGCTAATAAGTTAGCTATTACAGATCAAGTCAATTATATTTTGGCAATGGGCGAATCAAAGCGTTAACGTGGCCATAAATTACGCAAATGCAAACAAAACCACGAAAATGGATTTTAAGGAGACTGCCAGTAAGAGCATCGGCACAAGCTAAAATTTTGAACATGTTTTGAACGTCATGAGACATATTGAGTTATTAAAAGTATTATCTTTTTCATAGCTGCCTATATTTCCGCGGTTACCGCATCTTGTGGGATAGCAGTTGGTCTATCGCAGACTGTCCCTCGATTAAAATCTCTTAGTCCTTCAATGAAGCAAGTGCTGTCTAGGCTTGTCCCGTTTGCTGCTGTCGCAGGCGCCGGGACAGTAAACGTGTACTTGATGAGATGGAAAGAAATCAAGTAAGTGAATATGTATGACGCAACTCACCTGCGTTACTTGAACCTTCTTGAAGAAAACGCTCTTGTCAATGTGTCACGTTATCTCAGAGATGGTATCGATGTATACGATGATGATGGAAGAAATTTGGGGAAGTCAAGTAAAGCTGGAGCATCCGCTGTAAAGCAGGTATGATGATAATAATAATAATGATATTCCCTCATAAGTCTCCATGGGACCTCCTGCATCTGCTTCTTCTTCCCCAGGTTCGTTCACTAACTTGAAATTACGTTTTGCCCATGTGTAGGTTGCCATCTCCCGGGTGCTAACAGCTCTTCCGGCGTTGACCATTCCTCCTTTGTTACTTTCGCGACTTGAGAAGACACGATGGATAAAAAGAAATCCTAAATTACTTCTGCCAATAAATTTTGGTATGTAGCTATTGTATAAAGACACAAGAAATGAAATTACTGAATGCTGATTTACTAAGTTATTACGCACATCTTTCTTCCTCCCAACATAATTTTTTTCCTAATGAACAATATCTCAGGCTTAATTACTATTTCACTTATGACTGCCCTCCCTCTGGCAATTGGTGCATTCCCGCAGAGAGCGGAAGTAAATCCGCTAACATTAGAAAAAAGGTTTTGGGACATTCGCGATGAGAATGGACGTGTTATAGATAAAGTGTATTACAACAAAGGATTGTAAGCAGAGGCTTCATATGACGTTATAGAGTTGTTTTCATGGGCAATATAATCGTCTCCGATGTGATTGCAAAACTTCTTATTTCCGCATAGATGGATCTAATTTCGACGAATAGGAGACATTTATTGTTACTGAGATATCTTTTTGTCAGTCAGTCTTCTACGAACAATGGGATGTGAAAATCAGTGATAATGATGAAAAGCTTAGTGTTTCGCGGTTACTCGCCGCCAATGATTTATAGTTATTATTTTCATGTGATTAAAGACAGATCTTTAATTGGCTATTCCGAACGTGTTACGCTTATTTATATAAATTGTAGTCTCGTTCTTCTTGAACAAGTAATAAACAATGGCAACTGCAGGAATTACAACTGGTAGCTATATTAATCTTCGAGACTGTTTTTTCCGACACCTACGTTTGCTAAAAGTATTCTCTATGTAAATAATTATAAGATGAAGCAAAGTTATATGATAGACAAATCAGACTGTGGGGCGTGGAAGCTCAACACCGGTAATATTGGATAATTATCAGCTTCTGAAGCTTTCCCTTAACGTAAATCATACTAAAAATTGTCGCGTTCGTTTGTCCTTGATGGTTTAGCATGCGTAAATCATCTATACTTATAGTTGGTATGCGAGGCCTCAGTAATGAAGTGTGCAAGAACTTGGTGTTGGCCGGGGTTGGTGCTGTCACTCTGCTTGATCATAAAATCGTCAGGGAAGAAGACCTGGGAGCACAATTTTTTGTTAACAAAGATGATATCGGAAAGAACGTATGATGGTCAAAATTTTTGCGGGTCCAAGAAAGAAATTCGCAACGTATTAACGTAATACCGTGATTCCACATCATTTAGAGGGCGGTTGCTTCTGTTGACAAGATGAGGCAGCTTAACCCTAGAGTCTCAATCGAAGCAGACACTGATGATGTTAAAGATAAGCCAGAGGAATACTTTGAGAAATTTGATCTCGTATGTCTAACTGACTGTGATTTAGAGACAATGGTAAGCAGTTTTTGATTACAGTTAATGCTAGCACTATTTCATACTCTAATCCGTATGTACAATAGATACGCGTGAATAAAATCTGTCATTCGTATAAAAAGAAGTTTTACTCAGCGGCGGTATATGGTTTCTATGGATATATATTTACAGATCTTAGTAAACATAACTTCACGGTGTATGTGCCAGCTAAAAATAATTATTGTTGCGATTTTGTATTACTATGCTCATTAATCTTGTCATAGGAAGGGTCAAGAAAAAGAGGAGGAGTTTGTAGACATGGAGACAGCTTTGAAGAAGTCTGATTGGTCATCTTTATCTATTAAAAAGTTGAAGAGGATCTCGCCTTTGTTATGGGCTTTACAAGGTATGCTGAATGATTTAATTGTATGTATTGTGCTTATTAATTCATGTTGCATAGTTTTGTGGAAGTTTGAGCAGGAAGAGAACAGACTTCCCAATAAGTCAGAATCAGATTTTGCAAAGCTAAAAGTGATAAGAGACTCGGTGTCAGTTTTGATTAAGCTTCAGCCATCTATGATACCAAATGAAATTCTCAAGTATGTAAATAGACCATCATCCAAGCTATAATTACAATGTTGATACTAACCTGTTAATTGTCACAGTTCACTAGCATTAGCAGAAACAGAATTGTCTCCTGTGTGTGCAATTATGGGTGGTATATTAGCTCAAGATATCTTGTATGCAATTTCCCATCAAGGCATGCCCATAAATAACTTTTTTGTTTTTAATGCTCATGAGAGTATGTATTTATTCCTGTATTATGTTAGTGTTGAGTCCACCAATTGCTTTGTCACTGACTGTTGCTTTGACATAAAGATTCAGGGCTTATCTACAAAGTGATGACAGGTAAGCCACCTTATTAATAAGATTATTAGAATTCAATCAGACAGATGCCTGTGACCAATTATGCAGAATGAAGTGTCAAAGAAAGTGAAAATCTGTGTATATGTAAAAATGATGAAGAGATTAAATGTGAACAGTGCTTGTGGCAAATTGCATAGCTTCTTGTTTTCATTTGTGAGAAATGTGATACTTTTCTATTATTAGCAAAACTTTGAGCTTCCCACTTCTATACTATTTAATATTATAATTAATATTAAATTTCGCTGCGCACTACATGTAATATTATTAACATTAATATGCAATAAAAACTAGACATACTAATACTAATATATAGTATTGAAAATTCTTTTTATTCTCATCTGTAAAAGAATTTATTAAATTTATATAATAATTATAATATGGGGCAGACTGCAACAAAACCAGACAAAGTGAACATTCTGTTTTGTGACATAAATGAGAGGCTGATTGTGATGTGG